CTATTTGGCTTCAATGATCCTCTAAGAAAAGATGTTGTTGGAACTCAATATGCTAAATGATGCTTCTGGATTTAAAATGCAATAGCAACTTTCTTAACATCAGATTGAAGAAAGTGGAGACCTGGCCTAACTAATTTTTTAGAATCTTTAATTTCTGAGTTTATGTGTGTTACCTTTCTATATAAAACTGATATGGATGCTTCATTTGGACATCGATTTCGATTTTTTTTCTACTGAGCGTTTTAGGGGTTGTTTACTAATTGCTTACCCAGTAAGCGCTTACCGGTTAAATTGTTGCATACGATACCATTTTTATCTTTTCTGCTTAATTTGATTGGTTTTTCAGATTTCATATATATATATATATATATACACACTACAATGTTGATTTAGGTGTTTTATCTTTTCTGCTTGATTTTAGTCATGGATGATAATGTGCGTGTGAAGTGAACAAATGAACTTAGCAAACGGTTTCTAGAGACTTGTGTAGAAGAGGTCCATAAAGTGGGTCGAAATGGAGGTAGTCTTCGCAAGGAGACTTGGGTGAAAGTGGCAACCAAACTAGAGGAAGTTTGCCATGTAAAACTCACCCAGAAACAACTGAAAAACCAATATGATTATTTGAAGGGAAAGTATTCGGGATGGGTTTACCTAAGGAATAAAACAGGAAATATTTATGACCCTGAAATGAATACGTTCATCCTAACTAATCAAGAATGGGAAGATTTCTTTAAGGTTAGTTTTTATTCTTTTTTACCTTTTTAGATATTATAGACAAAAACACGAGTTTTATATAAATAATAATTATTATAATTTGGACGCAGGGACATCCAAAGGCACGAACATTAAAGACTGCACCATTGATATACCCTGATTTGTGTATAGCTTTGTTTGAGGGTACTTCCGCTACCGGATCTCGTGCTTATGCCCCTAGTTCAACACGTGAGAGGACTACAATTTCATCTTCGTCATTTACATCCAATATCCCTACTACTCAAGAAACTGAAAATGAGGTGGATGGAGATGAGGAGGAAGGACCAACCGTCAATATTGCGAGCACAATTCCATCTAGACCGAAGAAGAAGAGTAAAACCAAGGTCGATATGGATGAATTGGCTCTAGAAATGAGGGGTGCACTTCAAACACTTGTTACACAACAAGCCACACTTGTTGAACAACAAACTGCACTTGTTGCACAACAAGCCTCAAACCTAAATGCTTGTCTTGAACGGTTGGACACTCTTTGCCTTGATAAAAGGAGTCCTCTTTATGGTGCAGCCATTGACATTTTTGGGCAGTCAACGTTGTTAANTGCTTGTCTTGAACGGTTGGACACTCTTTGCCTTGATAAAAGGAGTCCTCTTTATGGTGCAGCCATTGACATTTTTGGGCAGTCAACGTTGTTAAGAGAGACATGGTTGTCGATCCCTTTAGACGCTGATATATTAACATCATGGATTTCAAGGACGGCAAGACGAATGGGGCTTATGGATTAGTTTTAGGAATTTGAACAAGTTACTTTTTTATGTGATTTGTATTTGAACATGTTATTTGCTTATATGTTTCATATTTGACAATTTGGTTACATGTTTTGGATGTTGAACTAGTTGTTATTTGGTAATGCATTTGATATCAAAGTTTACTTCTATTTGACATTTTATTTATGTTTTTAACAGGTGTATCATGGATAATAATCAAATCAACATTAATAACAATACCAACACTATAGTTTTCATCGTCGTTTTTTTATATATGTTCTACTTGCGACAAAGGCGCTTAAAAAGGAAAAGAGATAATATGTCTGCAATGACTGGACGCCAATTTACGAATGAGCTACTTGAAGGTAGTGATCGACAATGTATTGACTTGTTGCGCATGTCCCGTGAAGCTTTCATTCGATTATGTGATCACTTTAAAACAAAAGGTTGGTAAACGGATAGCAAACATATATTGGTTGAAGAAAAAATGGCTATCTTCTTGATGATTATAGGTCACAATCAACGTTATAGAGTGTTGAAAAACAGGTTCCAACACTCAACACAAACAATTCATAAAAATTTTCATGAAGTGTTGGATAAAATGATGGAGTTTGCAATAGAGATCATAGTTCCTACATCATTTAATCCTAATCCAAACATCCCTGGGAATAATAGAAGGTTACGACGAATTTTTAAGGTAAATAATAATTCAATAATAGTTGTATAACTTTCCTTGCTAAATTTATTTTGACTACTGAGCTTTAATGTAGGGAGCAATTGGCGCCTTGGATGGAACTTTAATACATGCTATCGTCCCTATTCAAGAGCAACATTTATATAGAGGACGAGGAAAGGGTGAATGTTATCAAAATGTTCTGGCAATTTGTGATTTCAACATGGTTTTTACATTTGTTGTTGCCGGATGGGAAGGAATTGCAC